AGCTCTCGTACCGGACTCGGTGCTTGGGGCCTAGCAGGGCTGTTCCCTGTTCAGGACAGGGCTTCCTCCATGTCCTGCACTCCATGGAGCTCCTCCAGGAGGCTGCCAGAGCAGCCCTTCTCCCCCTGCTCCTGCTCCGGCTGCCCATCGCTGAGCCTTGCAGGCTCTGCCTCTTGTTTTGACTTCCCAGGAGGATGGGAGCATGGTGGGGGGCAGGGGGGACACTGTCTTCCTGCTTCACCACCTGTTTCTGGCACCAAGCATAAGCCTGACCCACCACAAGAGGTCCATAAATTAAATTACTGGATGAATACAAGAAGCTTCCCAGCCTCCCCCCAAAGCTGGCTCACCCAGAGTTGTGCATACATGACAGGAATAAAAAAAATGTAAGTCTCCAGGGGCCAAGGAAGTAACTCAGCTGAAGGGCACTGGTCACAGAGTCCATGGGAAGTTGGGGACACATGCATTCCTCCTCAAACGAGACAGCTCTTCTGGTATTTCACGGAAAGCCAGAAATTCGAGTTTTTATGGGCTGTGTGACATTGCTTAAAGTTGAAGGGCCGTGGGCTTAGCCTCTGAGTGCAGTTGGTAGCTTCCCGAATGCAGTGCTGGAAGCCACACGGCCGGCCGCAGGTTGGGATCCCTGGTCTGGTCAGCCTGAGACATTGGATGTGTGCACGCATGCCCAAGACCCCGAGGAGCTGGACAGCTAGGGAAGGGAGCCAGCGTGACCAGACTACGTTGAGGGTGCTCACTCTCTCTTTCTCTCCTGCATGCACATGCTCTCTGTCATGAATAGAATAAATAAAATGACAATAACAAAAAGTTGGGAGACTATGGAGGAGACATGAACAGCCCCTGCAAAGGCCATTCCTTCCCCAGCTTCCTGAGCTGGGTGAGACCCTGTGACTATCCCGGCCAGTGGGCAGCAAACAGAAGCACCTTAGGGCACTGTCAGGGCAGCACACTTTAGAGCCAGTGCACAAGGCCCAGTCCTCCTACCCCCTGCTGTGGTGACCCAGAAAGCCAAGTGTTCCAACTGGTGCAGCTCCGCGATGGTCAGCCTGGGTCCCTCAGTGACTCGGTGACCAGCACCGTCTGCCATGTTGGGTCTGGGCTGGGAGCAGGAAATAAGCATCTGGCATTTCAGGGATTTGTTCCTGCAGCATAACCCAGACGATCCGACTCACGCCGTAAATAACACTACTGATTTAATACTTTATATTCAAACATATTCAGAAATAAAATACGGACAGACCAAGCACTTGCAAGACATGTGCACTTTAGCAGGGCTTCCGTTCGTGATTTCTGACTCACGACAAGCCTCAGTCTACCACACATGCATTCTGTGCAGCACGTGAAGGGCAGTCCCATCTGGCTCCCTGTAGTAGGAAGACCTAAGAGTGGAATTCCCTGTAAGCCAAACATAGTTACTTATTAAAGGAGGATGGTTCCTAGAGAGCTCTGGGTGGGAGCTGCTAAGATCCATCCATAAGACACTGCTTACATGCCTTCTTTTGGCACCTTAACTTTCCCATCTGTACCATAAGAATACTGACCTCCAATGGGTTTGAAATGTTCTTGGCTGTAGAGCTATGCTCAAATGGAAAATGCACGCACATCTGATTAAAAGAGGCTGCTGTGGTTGATGGTGGGTGAGAAGCAGGGGGCCTGTCCAGTAGGGCTCTGGGTAACACCACTTGCAAAGCAATGTCCTTCCTGCTGGCCTTAGAGAGAGCTAGACCCCAAAGGCCTGCTTGTTCACAAGACGTGGCCAGTAAGTGCCTCCAGTTGCCGTTGGGAAGGGCTGCTTGGTGGAGGAGTCAGCAAAGTAAAGGAGAGTCCTCCGTCGGAGAGGAAGGGAAGGGGTAGGGAAGAGTGGGCTTGCAGGGTAAGCAGGTTGACTTGGCAGGGACAGAGAAGGGGGCCCAACGTCCCAGGTGAGGGCTGGGAGGTCAGGGACCAAGGGTAGGTGGAGGCAATGAAGAGCCCCCTTCAGCAAGGCAGGGCTCTTCCAACTTGCTTAGCTGGGTCCTAGACCCAGGGTGAGGCCCTTGGCTACCCAGAAAAGGTCTCTCCTTTGAGGGAACCATGCATTTTTGTGTCCTCTGGCACTCATCCACTGCATGGTCTAAGCAAGCCACTTGGTGTTTGGTCTCTGGTTTGCACATTCCTCTGTCTCAAGCAGGCAAGGCCTCCATGCCCTTGAGCTCGGGGGTCACTTGCAAAATTTGGCCTCAGCTGTGAACACCGAGTTTATGTCTCATCTGCTTTCCCAGACTGTAGGCGAGTCATCCACACCCACTCTGACGTGCCAGTGCCCCAGTGCTGTGCGGAGTTGTCCAGGGAGCTGCACCTCCCAGATAACTACGGGGCGAGAGCGCTGTTGGAGAGGGGCACCCCTTCAGAAAGCCAAGGGCATAACTCTCCCCTGGGACCCAGATGTGTTCCTGCAGTCTCGCCTGAATACTGAGTTGTTCACCCCTCCCTTGCACTGGGTGCAACCTTTGAGAATCTCCAAAAGAATGTTTTTCAGCCTTTCACAAGCACCGCCATCTTATCTTAAAATTAAATCCCAGGCAGAAGCTCAATGCACAAACTTAAGGAAATTGCTTGAGTGGAAGCAAGAGCTGGGGCAAGGATGAGGCAGGGCTGCCACCGCCCTTGCATAGTCTGAAAACCACAGTGACAGATGTGGCTGGACAGGCCATTCTGCAGGCTCCTCCCTCCCCCAGCCTGCCCTCTGGGGCATCCAGCCTTCTTTGTCCTGGCTGTTCCCCTCCCCCTGGCCTCAGAGCTCACAGCTCAGGCCGCCAAGCCTGCCTCTCAGGCTGGAGGACCCTCTGTGTCTAACCAGGGGGCTGACAGGCGGCAGCCAGTGCTCTGGGTCTCCCAGGAGGGGCCCCAGGGCAGCATGCCTGCCATGGCTACCGTCCCCAGTGAACAAGCACGGAGTTGTTTTTGCTTCCCACTTCAGTGGCTGCCCTGCGGCGTGGGGAGGGGCTGCTGCAGACAGCCTGCCTCCGGGCTGAAGGACAAAGGGTGCCGCAGCCTTTATAACTACTGGGCTTGGCCATCTTTCCTTTTTTGTGGTTGCTGGGCTAAAAGAAGAAAAAGTCTACTCTGATTCTTTAGGTCACCCCTGGGAGCACGCTCTTTATGGATCAAAGGCAAAAGGGAAAAAAGAAGCCTTCTGAAGTGAGGTTTTCAGGGCTGGCCCAGTGGCCTAGTGGTTTAGGGAGCCAGATCTCACACAGTCAGCCAAGGCTCAAGTCCCAGCCTGGTGGCCTGAAAAACTCTCTAGGTGCATGTGCGTGACCCAAATACTGACAGGAGGGCGAAGTAGAGACGGCATTGCGGCACGACATACCCCATCCCGCCGCGGGCTTTCTCCCTCGCCCCCTCCCTGCCCCTCTGGCAAGTGCGCGTGCTCTCTGGCAATGAAAAGTGAAGTTTTCATGAAGTTACACGGAGCACACTTGAGCCTTGTATTTTATGACCGCCATCAACGTTTTAGTTTCACAACGACCTCTCTTACCTAAAGTGAGGGTGACGTTCTCACTTGGCAAAACTGAAACTATTGATAGACCAGAATCCAAGCCAAAGCGAGCTAAGATGTCCGAACCTCTGCTCTCCATTTCCTGACGTCATGATTATTTCCTTCTTGGGCACGCTGGACACCAAGTAGGTCAGAAGGTGACCTGGAAGCAATGGGAGGAGGCTGCTCGGGCCTCCACGGGAGGAGGGGGGCAGGAGCAGGCCTTGGCTACCGCACTGGCTGCCAGTGCCGGCCAGAGAGCAGCAGGGTGGGTGCTGAAAACCAGGAGCCTTTAAGGCAGCCCTCCAGGCACCTGTTTGCCAGCAGATGGCAGGAGCTCAGCCAGGGAAGCAGCTGCGGTGCCTGCGCGCACCAGCTGCCCTGACAGGGGGTCTGGCTGGACGTGGGCTGCCCTTCACGGGGAGAGCCAGCTGTTCGGATGTGGCTGGCAGATAGCAACTCGGCAGCTGTGGCTCCTCCACATGCTCGTCCTCGCCTTGTGCTCAATGCCAACGCCCACCCTCCTCCCCTCCCTTCCACCTCCTCCATCATCCTGCTCTGCCTCAGCCTTACCCCTGCCCTGGCGCCAGCCCCAGCACGGCCAGCCAAGAAGCCCTGGGAAGACATGGCATAGTTCAGATGGAGGTGATGAAGGCCTGGGGATGCAGGAGGTGTGCGCAGAGCTGCCCACCACCTCCACTCCCTGCCTTGCCCTGGCCTTGCCACTCCGACCCCGGCTCACCTCCCCTGTACTCCTGTCCTCGCACAGGCCTGGGCTTTCACCAACAGGTCTCCCTGAATGCTTTCTGGGACCCGGGCCCCCCTGATGCCGTTCCCGATCCTCTGTCTCCCTCAGAAAGCCCTGGACATCCGGCTCCCAGACAGCAGACTCCTGGGGCTGAACTTCGGTTTCCTGCCTTTGCCCTCAGGCATAGTGACCTGGGGCCAGAAAGCCATCTTCAATCCTCCTGCTCCCCCTTAAGCCTTACACCCGCACTCCCCGGCCCTGCAGCCATGCTCCATGCCCAAACTGGGCTCACTTCCTCCCCAGAATAGGGGATCTATGGAGACAAGATCCTGTCAGTCACGGTCTTCTGAGGCCAACAGGTGTTCAGAATGCCACTGGCCATGTCTGCATTGCCCGAAGCCAGTGGAAGGGCAGAGCTCCTGGTGCTTAGTTCAGCTGCTGCCAGGCTGTCCTGGGCACCCTCACAGACAGCCACCCCTCCTGGGCTATCTCCTGCCCCAGGCCATGTGCCACCTGCCACTCTTTGAGGTGGTTTCCTCTGACACAAGTCTAGAGTCTCTGGGTCACAGAGCCCTTTGGCATCTTTCAGAAGCTTAAAAATCTCTTTTGAAAAATGCATCCATGCACATTTGTGCCCACACACAATTTGTACACCATTGCTGGGGGGTCAGGGACCCATGTGGCTCTAGACCCCCCAGGCCCCAGGTTCAATCTCTGCTGTGTCGCAGCATGAGAGAGGAGGCAGAGGGCATTGAGGGGAAGTCTGGGTGTGATTTTACTATAGGATCAACTTGGCAAGTGACCCCAGCTTGTCGTGTCACCTCTTGGGCCTCGGTTTAGCCAGAGCTGTAGAGACAGCTGGTCTAGCGTCCTCAGGCTCTTTCCAGCACTGCAGCTGTGGAGCTGTAAGACACGCCATCTCTGATCCCCACACTCAGGTAGGGCAAGCAGAGGGGTTCCGAATCCCTCCCTCAGCAGTACATCCTGGGGTGGAAGGTCAGACAGCCCGCGGGAGACCAGGGGCTGCACGTTCCCCTTCAACAAGAATGAAGACGCTCCGGGAAGTACAGCCCTTTCCTAATGGATTTTAATTTCTTTTAAAATAATTTCAAAATATTTTTCTCAGGGCCAGCCTGTGGCATGGTGGTTAAGGTGGCTGGATCCCAGAGGGCCAACTGCACAGTTTGAGTCCTGATCCAGAGGCTTGAGAAACACACTGGGTGCATGTGCATGTGTGCCTGAAAGGGGAATGGAAAAGGATGGCAGTGTGACCTTCCCCCGGGGGCACGTTCTCACCGTCTCTGTCTCTCTCCAGTGAGTGCATGTACCTTCAGGCAAAACTTTTTTTTAAATATTTTTTTCTTCAGTGCATCGTGTGAGAAGACAACTGCATAGCTTTCCCGAGGCTCTTCGTTCAACCCTGCTCTGTGATTCCCTGGCTGCGTGACCTTGGTCTAGCTCCTTTCTCTCTCTAAACTTCAGGCTTGCCATTGGTTAAATAATGATATGGCTCAATGGCTTTTGTTAAGGCAGGAGAGCCCTGTGAGACAGGCCTTGGACGGGACTCCCTCATAATCGACGGAAGCTCTTGTGACTGTTTTCACTGACGTCGGTGTCAGGGACCTGAGACACGGGAATGTGGAACTCGAAGAGCATGAGAGGGAACGGGCTGTTTGTTCCCAAACCAGGATCCAGGTCCCCAGCCCAGAGTTCTACTATGGCAGACCCCACAGACAGGTCTCTCCGCTGGGGCTTTGAATTTGCAGGGTCCGACTGCGACCCATGTCCAGGTTGCGTTCATGTTCCTTGTTACCTGTCACGGTCCAGCTGGTCCTGCCCCCAGGACACCCTGGACATAATTCTGCTCTCAACCTCCAGGCCACCTGTTGCAGTCTCGTGGTGGAAATACAGATCTAGCTTCTGGGTTTCAGACGGACCTTTAAATATGCAGCACCAATCTTACTTTCACCATCAGGACTTGAACCACCACCACAGAGAGAAACTATGACTAGAACTAGTCAAAACAGACATAATGCACACTGACAACACGCTAAACACACCCATGGCTACTTCCGAAGAGCAACTTTTTGACCTAAGTTTAATGACCTCCATCTTCCCTTCCTTCTTCTCCTCCTACCCCTCCTCTCCTCTCCCCTCCCTCCCTCCCCCTGGTCCCCCCATCCCAGGTTCCCCCTAGCCTAAGAATTACACACAGGAAGAGGATGCAGAATGAATTGCATTTACCTATGAATTTTACCAATTCACTTACGACTTGTGTCTGTTTGTTCCTGGTTTCATGGTTTCTAGTAGGAAACGCTGACAGATAGCTCAGTGCTGTGGGCAGTTAAACTAGAGTGGAACCCGGGAGGGTCTCTTCTGCAAGTACAGAGCCGGCTTTGGAGTCCTACCTGGTGGGGTTTCAATTTCAGCATCCCAGCCCCTGCTGCTGTGTGACTGTCTAATTCCTATGTGAGACCAGGTTACTAAAGCTCTCCTCCTCCTAGGGTTTTCAGAAAGCATGGTACTGGACTCCCCCCAGTCCTGGCAGGAGAGGAGGGCTGAGGGAGTGGGGAGTATAGGCTAGAGTTGAAGTGAACTGCAGACAACCTGGAGGCACAGCAGCCCTGGGTTCAAAGCCTGCCCGGATCATGGACTCATTCGGTAAAGATGGGCAATCCTACAATTCTTTAAGCCTCAGGTTTTGCATCTGAAAATAGGATAATGAGCAATCTCACAGCCGTGGGAGTAAGTGGCACATGGTGCTAAAGTCACTGGACAGGTCTCAGCCCAAGGCCAACCCTCTGTAACCTCTTCCTTCTGCAAGTCTTGGCCGTGTTTTCCATTTGTAAAATCAGAGCTGTGCCCCAGGCGCCCTGGGTCTCTCCAACTCTAAAACCTGGGACTCTGGCTCAGGCGAGGGACGAGGCGTGCAAAGATGTGACCTGCCGCCCGCTCACCTGTCGGGCGTGCTCAGGTTTGGACCCTGAAAGTGCCTTCCCGTTGGAGGAGGTGCCAGGAGCAGTGTCCATGCTCAGCATTGGGCCCGAGGCCCGCAATGCGCCAGGCTGGCAGGGGGAGGAGACCCTGCGCGCCGCAGCCAAAGGACTTAAGTGCCTAGGCTCCAGCGCTGCTGCCTGGCGGCGGACCCGGGGTCAGAGGAGGAGGATCCATGGACACCCATGAACGCTCCTGCCCATGCATCACTCACCGTCAACTCACAGAGCCGTCCAGAAGCCGCAGTCGGTGCTATGCCCTCGCCTGCACCGGAGCGAAGCTCGCTGCGCTTGCAGCCCCAGGACTCCGCGGCTCCAGGTCGGGGGTGGGCATTACTCAGCCCCGCCAATGGCATCACCCCATCTCGTCTCGCCCCGCCTCTCCCCAGGAAACGCCCCTCGCTCTGCATTCACCAATAGCACCGCCCTCTCCGCCCCGCCCCGCCCGGGTCACCTCGCAAGTGTCCGCAAGCCCGGCGGTTCCTTTGCGGTGGCGGGGAAGATTTCGGGCGCCCGGTTGGCTGAGTGTCCCCGGGGTGCCGCTCTGCATGCTGTGGGCCTCCTGAGTTCTAGTCCTTTAAGGGCACGGGACCTGCGGATAAAGCGGGGCCGACTCGGCTCTCAAAGTCCGGCCTCCGGACTAAAGCAGAGGACCCTGGGGTAAAGCAGACCCTTGGGTTTCCAACAAAGGCAGCCGCGCAGGCTGCAATTACTATGTGTGTCTGGGAGCGGTCGGAGGCCCGTCAGCCAAGCCCGGAGCGATTGTCCTTTATTGCCCAAGGGGCACCTGTGTGCAGTCCGGCAGTTTGCTTGGTGTGGCCTCTTGGGACTCCATACCGTTTAAGGAATCCGATTCGGTGACCAAAAAGAGAAGTTATTCTTCCCTCCCAGTCACCGCCTTCCCGAGGCAGAGAGATCAGAAAACCACAGGCTACTTGGGGAACTCGGAACCCTTCAATGTTTGGGAGTTGGGAGGCGGATCCCGGAAGGGCTTGAGGGAAACGGTTGCAATTTCTGTCTTATTTCACCATTCCAGTCCTGACCTCTGGCCTCTTCTCCTACGCCCCCAACATAAATCATTTTAGTTTCATTCAGTCTGCCTTTCCTAATCTTTCTAGGGTCAACTGGCTATTTTACAGATGGATATGGATCTTCTAGAAAAATGTGTGTGCCCACCTACACAAAAATCAGCCTGGGACTTGAGTCTATGGGCCCCTGGACCGCACTCGGAGGGGCCCTGCTCATCCTGGTTGGGGCTGCTGGACTGGGGGTAAAAGCTGACTTTCTGCCATCTACTTCCATGTGACCTGCCTGTGTCAGACCCCTGGTGACCTGTTTCCCCACCTGCAAAAAGCAAGGGGGCTGAAGATGGCCTGTGCAGGGACCTGCCCACCACACCTTGCTTGGATTCCTGGAGCATGGCCCATCACCTGCCAGCTCAGGTGACCTCCTTTCATGACACATTTGTTTACTCACGCTCAGCTGTCACATCTCAGCAGGGCTGAAGCCAATCACTGGCTGCTCCTGTAAGGTTTTTAAAAACAGTGGGTAAAATGCAACCTATCTGTCAACTTCTGAGCACTAGATCCTCAGAATTCACTGATGCCTGGCAGGAGAAATAAACAGCACCTGGCTGGCACAGTTCCCTGGGCTCCGCACGTGAGTGTGAATCATCCCCTCTGACCTAGTTAGTGCTGTTCCTCAGGCAGTGCCTGGCTGGGAATGATGACTGGGTGTAGGGTAGCAGCAGAGGTGTCTGAGCACCCACTGTGTGTCAGACACTGAGTTAGTGCTTTACATCAGGGACTCCAATTCCCTCAACATCCCTGGGCAGTGTGTGTTTTCACCTGGATTTTGTAAATAAGTTTTTTTTTTTTTTTTTTTTTTTTTTTGCTAGAGGGTATGTAAACTCCCCAGAGAGAGACAGAGAGGGAGGGAAAGTGAGCAAGCGCCTGTCCTCTGCCATGGGGGACAGTCACTTGGCAATCTCTTTCGTCTATTTCTCCTGGGATTTTGGGCACGCATACAGAGGTACCTGGAGTGTTGCTCAAGCTTCTAGTCTGGGACTTGAACTGCTCAGTCAGTCACATGGGTCCGGCTGCCTTAACCACCATGGCACCAGCTGGCCTTACCACTTAGATTTTGCATGGAAAACAGTGTGCATTATTGGGTCCTCAATAACTTTCCTGCCTTCAGAACCAAGGGTCCCCCCCTCTTTAGATTGGAACCACGGCCAGGTCATTTGGTTTACATGCAGTCTCTGCCTCGCCCTCCCAGGCAGCTGGGATTACAGGTGTACGCCACTGTGTGCAGATTTTTAGGGTGGGCTGGGGGTTGAACCTGGGCCTCCCACATGGCCTCAACCCATGGCTCAGCAGTGCTGTACCAGCATGTGCCACTGCGGTCGGGCCGTGTCTTCTTTCAGGTCTGGCCTCCAGCTCACTTCCGGTGAGTGCTGCTAGTCGCCAACTCAGTATTCATTCCCTTCTTTGGAAAAAAGGAAGGAAGAGAGGAGAGGAAGCAGGGAGGAAGAAAAGAAAAAGGGAGGGAGAGGGAGAAACCGACCTATTAGGAGCAGCAGCACGCCTGGTGATGAGGATGAGCTCCTTTTTTCTTTAACCTTGCCAGAGGGCCTGCGTGCTTGCCAGAGGAGAGAGAGGGACAGTGAGAAAGCACCTTCATGGGGGACAGTCATGCCTCAGTTCCTTTTCCTCCATCTCTCCCTCCTTTTGGGATTCTGAGCACATGTGCATACATGCCCAGCATATTTCTGAAGACACTGAGTCTGGAACTTGAACCACGCAGTCAGCCATGTGGGAGCCAGCCACCCTAACCACCATACCACAGGCTGGCCCTGGGCCACTTGTATTTTGCATGCTATCCTTACAACTCAATATGAAATGAGTGAAATTAATTTAGTGGATGATTTGACTAGTACTTGAAAACAGAGAATGTCAACGTACAGCGCGTACACTAAATGCGAAGTGTTCTATGAAGAGTTTGTTTGCATTCTGTTTCAGTTACGTGTATGAGGCTGTGATCTAAAATCTGTTACTCACTGTGGGCCATGGAAAGATGGAAAAAACAGCCTTGACAACCTTTTTCATGGTCTTCCCAACTTCTTTTGAAGCTAGAAGTGGTCATAAAACCCACTTTCTGCTGCAAGTGTGGCTACGGTATGTAGTGTCTGGAGCATTGGCAGCCATTCTGAGATGGTGATTCAACATGTCCACGGGACAGGGCTGGTGAAGCATAAAGATCAGAGGGCTTGGGGTCTTTATTAACATCATGGCGTTTCTGCAACTCCACACTCCTTACCATGGAGAGAAATGAGCCCCTATTTCTTGTTATTAATTATTATTATTCTTTTAAAGTTTTCTATAGGGCACATGTGCTCACCAGAGAGAGATGGGGGAGGAGGGGAGGTGAGAAAACAAGCCGCCAGGTCTGGGACTTGAACTGTGGTTGGCCATGTGGGAGTCCAGCACCTTAACCACCACACCACCTGCTGGCCCCAAAGCCCTATTTCTTTAAGCCAGATGTCTTCTCTGTGAAGGTCCGGATAGTAAATATCTTAAGCGTTGTGGCCGGTGTTACAACTACTCAACTCTGTTGTCCAAAGGGGCAGGGACAGCATGTAAATCAAATGACCTGGCCGCAGTCCCAATCAAACGATCTACAACAACAGGTGGCAGGCCATGTGACCCATGGAGTGCAGTCTGCCAGCCCTGTCCTTGAAAACCTTGTCCTCTTTGTGGCCTCTCTGATCTCCCGATCTCTCTCCCTCCTTCTCTCTGCTCTGGTCACACTGCTGCTGTTCTCACTCACCAGGCTCCTCCTGTCTCCAGGCCTTCCCACCTGCTGTGTCTTCATTCTGGAGGATTCTCCACACAACTACCTGTAGGACTCACTTCTTCGCCTCCTTCAGATGGCCTTCTCTTTGAGGTCTTCCCTGCCCTCTACCTAATGCCCCTTTGTGACCCACACATACTATGGCCTCACACGCTGTATGTCCCTTCTTGAGAGAGGGATACTTTCCTTGGATACTCTGCCTGGAATGTCAGAGTATCTAATCAGCGTTTGATATATGATAGACTTTTTCCTTTTTTGCCATCTGAAGATAAGAAAACAGACTCAGGGATGCTTACTACCCTGAGTATATAATTATATATATGTAATAATTAAGATGACATGTGACTAAAGTGGTAGAACCGGGGCTTGAACTCATAGCCCGGTGTGGCTGTGTCTGTGCCTCTGGGGAGTAAGGGCAGAACAACGGCCACCTTCAGTGAAAGTTCAGGGCTCAGGGTAGCTGAGGTTACACAGTGCTTTCCGTAGACTCCTTGCCCTGGGGTGTCACCCCATGACAGAATTTTGGAACTCCATTAAGGGAGCAGAGTACCCTGCTCATCGTCTGTAGCCCCATTCTTTATAGCATTCCCACAGCAGGAAGTCTTTAGAAAATGTCATTATTTTGTGAGAAGTCTAGACTGACTTGTAAGAGCCGTAAAAAAAATGACGCAGAAACACTCACGATACCACATTTTTAGTAAAGAGCCACAGAAACTAAATTTATGTTTGACTTGCAAGTGGGGGAGCTACACGTAGCCCAAGGGCCTGATAAGCAGCCAGGGCTCCATTGGCTAGGATGGCTACTGAGGCAGGAGGCCCTGGCTCAGCTTCATCTGTGACATCTTGGCCCCTGAGCGCTGCTCAAGGTACTGAGAAATTCCCTTCCGTCCTGAGAAGGCCTGGGAATAATCGCAAATTCTGGGATGTAATTTGGATTTCTGAGTCTGGAGAAATAGGTCTCTGTATTTCAATGTCTGATATGAACAATGAGAACCATTTCCAAGGCCATTCCCTTACAACAGTAAATGGGGCTTCGAGTTAAAATTGCTAATTGATTGCCTACGGTCTTCAATGCATGGCTTTGTACGTTTTTATTTTTCTCTGAACCGTCTCCAGCATATGATTCAGAATAAAGGACATTTTCAAGCAGTTTTTTCAAAAAGTGAGTGTGATTCCAAGTGTACATTCTTTAGAAAATAATTGGATGATTGCACTTAATTGGCAGGAAGGGTTATTTACAGAATGGTGTTTGCACCATTAGCGCTGGTGGGGTCCTTGAGGAATGAGGTCATCCCCCATGATCTTAACATCCAGGAGGCTTTGTGCAGAATTTGCCATCCACTTTGAGGTGACTTCTCAAAACATCTACATACCGCTCCTCCTTCCCCATGTGAAATGGTTTTCATTAACTTCATTTGTTAGCACATAAATAACAACTTCAGGTTAATATCAATATATGGAATCTGCAACCCATACCAGAGGCAGGCTGGAAATGATAATTTATTCCCCAAGTGGACATAAATTCCAATGATATATGCTGTGTGAGTGCCTTCTTATAAAATGCATGCACACACACACACACACACACACACACACACGTGTGCGCACAGGCTTTACATAAGATTTTTCCTTTATGGTTATGTTTTGGAAAAGCTTTTCTATCCCACTCTTTGGAACTAAACACTTGAACACAGAGTTTCCTAGGAGGGAGGGAGCTTGCTTTAAAAGGTGATAGAGCTAAAAATTGCTGCTGAAACTTCCTTTTGGGAAAAACTAACTGCTAGGTTCAAGACCTTTCTCCACTTATTTGCTGAGAAAAGGGTGACTATCTAATCCATGTTGGCTTCAAACATGTGCTAAAGGACACGGATGGCCTAAAAATCTCCGTGATTTTATCTCTGTGTGCAAGAAGCGCACATGGGCCTGTCTGTGGATGAATCAAAAGTTTTCCCTCTTCACCCTCTCCTGCCTATCTTCCTGGTAATGGAAATGTAGGATTTATTTGCTTGGCTACCCAACAGTAGAGATCAGAAGGCTAGGGAACAGATGTCTCCTTACCTCCTTAGGCTCCCCCTGCCTTTGCAAGCCTCCCCCCAGAACCCATGCCATCTCCTTACTGTCTACACCTTACCCATCTTTTCACCTTCCGTTCTGGTTGGTCTCCTGGAGGGCAGAGACAAGGTGGGGCTGCTAGAGAGCTGACCCTTATTACCAGGCATTGTAACAGCTGTGGATTAGCATTTTACAAATGAGACAAACTGGGCCAGTAGATATCGTGCTGGATCCCACACGACAGACTCCATGGTTCAGGTCTTGGCCCTGGAGGCTTGAGAAATATGCCCCAACCCCAAGAGGAGAATGGAGAAGGGAGAGATTCCTCACTTCCATCTCTCTCTGCAAGTGCATGCGCCCTATGGCAAGAATCTAAAAAGAAAAAAAAAAAAAAAGACAAAAATAATTATAGCAATGCAGGCTTCCAAACAAATTCTATTTTCAATATAAGTTTTAGTAATATCAGAAAATAGCTTTAAAAGTTGTTCAATATTTTGCTTTACTTAACAAACAGTTTGCTGGACTCCGGGAAGCTAGGATGAAACAGAACAAAGGCAGGAGGATTTACAGAAAGACAAAGCCTCTCAGAGGTGAAGGCCTTAAGGATTTTCTTCCACAATGAGTCTGGCTTGCTCTGAGCCACAAGCGCTGTGAATAGTGAGATCCTGAGGAGATGCAAGGCTGGGAACGAGCATCCAACCAGGACATTCCATCAAGCCAGGGTATGAAATAGCCAAGCAAGTGGAGACCTCCCAAATGGAAAAGAAAAGGGAGGAGCACACAGGGCTGTCTGTCCAGCTCCTGGACTGTGTATTTCTAAACAGACCATCCTCAGGGCTCTCTGGGAAAACTCTCAGCTAAAGAATGTAGCTGTTTCTGTCAGTCCTCACTATCTCTCCTCCCAAGTATGCAGCTTCCAAAGAATGTGAAACATTCCCAAGGGGGAAGGGACAGGCTGGTCAACAACTAGCCAGACTTGACCTGCTAACCCTATTTCTAAAGGATGCTCCAGTCCCATTGACCTCACCTCCGAGCCTGCCATCAAAGCTACCTCTGTTTAGCCCCCAGCTTGGTGAGGTTGCCCATCCCCAAACTTTGCAGCTACAAACTAAGGACTTGCTTGTTTAAGGAAGGATCAGGCACATAACTGGGAAGCCTTTTGAGTGCTATCTTCATTTGGGAATTGTCTCTGGCTTTTCACCCTGAAAATTCCCTCAGGATAACAAATATGCTATTGACATTACAGCTGGGTCGGAGTGAGACTGACCAAGGTACAAGGGGTTTTAATTTCCTCACCCTTTCTTTCCCTTTGTGGGAAAATGGAATGAAACGATAAAAATGAAATGTAAACTTTATTTTTTAACATAAGCTCCATCAAGTTCAAGATGCATTGAGAGCGTGATGCCAGCGAGGTAGCCTCTCCCTGAGGAACTGAGAGTCCTGGGAGTTTAGCCACGGCAATGCAGTCTTTTAAATATTATTAACAGAAGAAAGATGGGTGCCCTTTAAAGTTTTTATAAGATTAGGAAACAAGGAAAAATCAGAAGGAGCCAAGTCCAGACAAGAAGTGGATGCCTACAGATTTCCAAGTCGCCCTTGTTTGATGAGAGGAATGAACAGGAGCACTGAAATGGCGGGAACTCCTTGGGGAAGCTTTCCTGGTGCTTTTCTGCTAAGGCTTTGGATAAAATTTTGGATAAAATTTTTCAAAACGCTCTTACAATAAGCAGGCGTTATTCTTCTTTAGCTCTTCAGAAAGTCAACAAGGAAAATGCATCCCAAAAAACTTGCCATAACTTTTGCTCTTCACTGGACCACTTTTGCTTTGTTGGGACCACTTCCGCCTCTTGGTAACCATTGCCCAAAGCCCCATTGCTTTGATGGGGCTTCATCTATCCCCCCACTCCCCCCCTCAACTAACTGAGTTTTATTTGTTGCATAATAAGTCACCTAACATTTTTCAGGTTAAAAAAAATACTAAATTTGAGTAAAGATATCACAATATGAATTAGAGCCCAATTTAGCGTTGGGGAGGGAACACAATTCTACTCAATTAGGAAAACATTTTTATAGACCATAGATGAGTTTATTTTTAACACCCATCATGCCATGAATTCATAGGGAATAGGTTCCAGTAGCTCAGGCTTCTTTCCATTGGTTCTCACACAGTGGCTTCTCTGGGTGGAACAGGCTGGCGCTCCAGTTGAAGCCAGGTACCTTTCTCTTTGGCTTCCATTTTCTGGTCATTTTCCTTCACACGCTTTAGGAAACTATCTCTGCTCTTGGAATGCTTAATATGCTCAAGACACACATCATTTCTCTTGGCAAGAATCTTGCCCTTAACTTGTTTGTTCACAGCAATGCCAATAGCATGCTGGGGAACATTGTAGACAGTTTTGCATGGTAACATCTGTGGGGTATTCTTTTTTGAATAGTACCCATTCCCTTGATATCTACAATATCACCTTTCTTGTAGGTTTGCATGTATGTTGACAAAGGAATCACTCCATGCTTTCTAAAAGGCCTAGAGAACATATATCGGGTTCCTCTCCTATTTCCCTTTGTGTTTGTCATTTTGGTTAATTACTGAAAGATGGCAGTTCTGGAAAAAAGGCTGATGGGGCTTCATCTTCAGAATAATACTGGTAAAGTCATGTGATGTCTGCTGATACAATTCTTCAAAGAAATGCTGTGAGATTTTGATCTTACTTATTTAAAATTTTCATTGAAAGCTCTGCTTTTATCTCTAGCTGTTGTGGGTGCAATCGTTTTAGCACCCATTTTAGTCCACTATTGCATTGCAATAGTCTACAAAAATATCTGAGACTGGGTGATTAAAAAGAAGTGCAGATTTATTTGACTCACTGTTTTGGTACCTGGGGAAGTTAAAGGCACAGGGCTGGCTGGCATCATGCTGACCTATGTCACAACATGGCAGACAAGCAGAGAATGGTGGATGTGTGTAGAGAAAGTTTGGTCCGAGTTTTATGTTTGCTTTTCTCTCAATAATTCTTCTTCTTTTATAAACCATCAGGATTCAACAATGAGGGTCACTCCCTAATTACCCAGTCACCAATATCATCCCAAGACCCACTCTTCAATACAATAATGGATCAGGTTTTCACACTCTTAATCTCATTATGATGGCTCAACCCATTTGGGGAGACGCTAAATTGGGCAATGCAGGCAGCATGTCTATGGTGCAGTCTTGAGGCACAATTACTTCTTCAGGAAACTAATCTTTGCTCTTCAGGCCTTCAGCTGATTGGATAAGGCCCAACCACATTATAAGAAGTAATCTTTATTACTCGAAGTCTACTAACTTATATGTTAATCTCATTTAAGAAAATAGGTTTGTAGCAGATCAGTTAAGGGTTAGCAGGACCACAGCCATATTAAAATTAAGAGTAGCCTGTAAAGAGAACAATCTGACTGAATACTAAGTCATAGGGGAGATACATGTGAAGAATGGTCAGATGAGAAACCAGGAAAAGGTATTTGAAGGATTCAGGATAATTAGGAGAAAGCGATTGATGCCGACTGCAGAGAGGAATGATTTACATGTGCTTGTATCTTGTCCCTATACATACTGAGAACATGTTGAGATTTTTGAGACTGTTTGATGGGCTTTTTGACTGTCTCCCTGTAACTGGTTACAGATTAAGCTTCTTTCCTCTCTTGCTTTCACCCTTGTTTCATTGACCATGAGAACCAGTCAGAGTTAGATTAGCTGGTAACACCTTCACAGCAATGTCTAGAATGATGTTTGGTCAAAGAATGGCACCATAGGCTAGCCAAATCGATACATAAAATTAATTATCATGACCAGTAGTTGCAGAGTATTTGACCAATGACACACACTCTCTCATGTCCCTATTAAAACAGACTCTGGCAGAGTATGCTTCGATACCAGGGTATTCTGGGACTCCTTGGGAGATAAGAGAACCTCTTTTTCCTGGGATTTTTTTTTCTTTTCATCTTTTTTAAAGAAAAAAACAAACAGGGGAAAGTGTGAATGCAGTCCCCCACTACCACAAATCATGCAGTCGAGTTTCCCACATTTGGGGAAATTACAGGAGTCAGTACATCAGGAGTGCAATGGATAAGGTTTGCCCCAGGAAAACTACCTTCATGACCATGGTCTCTCCCCTACCAGGTAAGCATTTTCCTAGGATTTTTAAGTACCTTTGTAAATTGTGGAAATTTTGAGAAATTTTTGCTTCTCCATTGGCCTGAGCAGTCTACTTTAGGGATTGGCAAACATTTTCTGTAAAGGGCTTAGTAATAAATGTTTTTATTCTTGCGGACCATGACATCTCTCTCACATCTACTCGAGGAAAAGTTGCCATAGACAGTATGTTAATGAATGAGCATGACTGTGTTTTAATAAAACTTTATTTTGAAAATCATGTAGGGGACTGATCTGGTCCATGTGTAAAATGAGAACATGTGATCACATCAAACCTTTTCATTCTGTCAGACTTGGCAACAGGGGTGGATAAGCAACACATGGGTCAGGATACTGTAAGGAATAAAAACCTAAACAAAGGGGATTTTATTATCTCACATAATAAAAAGCCCCAAGAACAGGTAGTTTCAGGGTTGGTTAATTCAGTGCCTCTAAGTCATCTTAAGGATCCAAGTTCTTTCCATCTTTGATTTTTAAAAATTTTTTCAAGAGACTTTTGATGTAGGGCACATGTCCTTGCTGGAGAGAGAGAGAGAGAGACAGAGAGACAGAAAGCAGAAATCCCTCTGGGGGTGTAGCCATGCCACAGTCCCTTCTTTTTTCCATTCTCATCTCAGGATCTTGGATACACACACACGCTCCTGGCATGAGTTTTAAGTTGGCTGGTCCAGGCTCAAATCGTGGTCCACTATGTAGGAGTCCAGTGATGTAACCATTAGGCCATCTACTGGTCCCCCACCTTTGATCTTTAGCATATTGGTTTAGCTCCCTGAAATTTGAAAATGATTACTATACTTTCCTGCAGACATGCCTACATTCAGTGGAAGGAGAATGGTTTGCTCCAGTGGGGTTCTTGTAGTGTTGAGAAAACCTTCCCTAGAGGCTCCCTAGTAATCTTCCTTCATGTCTCACTGGCCAGAACTAGGTGGAGTGCCCTGCTGAGCATGTACCCACAATGCCTGGCTGGGTGAAGCACATGGCTGGTCAAGGGAAAGAAAGTAGAAGGGCCATGGAAACTCAGGCCCTACCAGCAAGAAGTGGACCAACAATGTCCCCAGGACAAAGCCCACAATGGGCAGAGTCTCTGCAGATAAGGTGGGTCCATTTCAGGGGGCAAGGTCACTTCCTGTGGGTGAGTGAGCTGGGCTTAAAGTCGGAGAGGTTCCAGGAGAGCAGTTCCCCTGTAGAGTGCTGGGCATGAGGAGTGAGGCTCTGGGTTACTAGAAGAGGAGCTGCTAAATGGAGGAAGTGCGACGAGGGGCACAGGCAGTGACCAAGTCTGGAAAAGGAACCTAAAATGCCCTTGGACAAATAACGAGCAGAAGCTGAGGCCCTCACCAGTGGCTGGGGTTGGGGTTAGCCAGCAAGTTCTGCAGCCAGAGAGCAGGGGCCTTGGGGAAGCTGTGTGCTGGCTGGTCTCGCTGCTCACCATCTCTGTATGTCCCAGGCTGGGGTGCAACCAGGAGCAGCAGGAAACCAGGGCCCCTGGAAGGAAATGGAAGGGTTCCCTGGATGTTTATGCTATGTTCTTCGGCATCAAGGGGACATTGCTTAGTTTCTTCTTACCTGCGTGGAAAGGCTGGGATTATTGTCCTGAGCTTGGAGATAGGTGGGAGCCTGGAGGGAGGGCTTGGCCCAGCTTCTAGGCTCTGCTGGAATCCAGCTCCTCTGGATAATCAACCACCCTGGGGAAACCCAAAAGGCGTCAGGCCTCTGGCAGTGTGAGCAGCACAGTGAGGATCACTTGGTGACAGGCATGTCCAGGCTCCCCTCTGGCTCTGCAGGTGTCGGGGTGCAGTTTGTGTAGTGTTCAGAATAGAAATGGCTCTTGGGCATAGGTATGTAGGTGAAACAGTCCCAACCAAAGCAGGAGTTGGTTGGTTAGCCTCATTACACACTAGCTAGTGCTCCCTGCTCTCTTACTTCCTTTATCCTTCTCTGTCAATCATTCCTCTTTCTCCTCTCCCCTACCTGTCCACATTTTTTCCACACCCATCCTCAAAACAAATTAAAAAAAAAAAAAGATAGTTCTAGGTGACTCTGGGGGAAGAGACCTAGTAAGGACCGAACGAGTCTTTCCAAAATTCATATGTTGAAGTCTCAATCCCCAGTGTGATGGTATTAGAAGGTGGGACCTTTGGGAAGTATTTCAGTCCTTTGCATCGAGCCCTCACAAATGATACTAATGTTCCTGTAAGAAGAGACAAGAGCGATTTCTTCTGCCATGTGAGGGCACAGCAAATGAGCGAGGACGTGAACCCATACCAGGATCCTGCCGTGTTGGCCCATGCATCACAGGCTTTTCCATCTCCGGAACTGTGAGAAATAAATGTTGTTTAAGCCACCCACCCGTGGTTTTTGTTATAGCAGCCTGAACTGAACACATAGGACCTTCGAGTCACCTGGTCAAAACTCTCCTCTTTCCAAAAGATGAGGGGAGAGAGGCCCAGAGGAAGAGGCCAAGGCCATCGGGAAGATGAAGTGTACAGCTGGTCTCAGGCTTTGGTCTCCCGACGGCATTAGGAACTGCTGTTCTGGAGCTCAGTTTTAACTGGATGCCAGGTCAAGTTACTCAATTCTCCATGCTGTAGTTTTCCGTCTGTAAATGGGGCTGAGGCATATCCGGCCTCCTGGTCTATGAAGATGAGAGTGGATGGCACCTGCAGCTCCCTGAACGCACGGAGGTCTCGGCTCCTCTGGTTGTTGCTGTCATTGCTGAAACTGCTCTTTGCAGTGTGCTTTCTCCTGCACAAAAGCCTTCCTCGTTATATCTGGAGAATATAGCTGCCCACTGTAGACTCTGATGAACTTGGTGACACTTCTTGGGTCCCAGTGTTGTGCCCGATAAGATTCTAGTCCTGATTTTGAAGTTCAGCTCAATTCCACCTCCCTGGATTTCCTCCTGCCTGAGTTCTTACCTCATAGCACTCTGTTCGCAATATTCTTGTCACCAGTCTGCCTCATGTCAGTCACTCTGTCTGTGGGATTACACGGCATGTCAAACTTACTCCTTCAGCCCCAGCACCTTATATGTTTCCTGACCCACGTGGTGCGTTATTAGCAAATGTTTGCTGATTTCAATAGACTCTTGTTCTTAGTAGACTCTAAGTTTATACTGGTGTTGCTGGTTTCAAAGAAAGGAACATGTTCTCCTCTGGAAAGAGGAACCCGAGACTTGGGGCCTACAGATATCTCACCCTGTTTCCTGGAAGCTAGAAACCGAAGCTATAGTGGGCTGGTGGCACCCTCACCCCCAAGCCATGCGTGGCCTAGACAGAAGTAGCTATTCAGGGACAAAGGCTTGGCCCATTCACTTTGTTTGTTATCTTAACTTTAAAGGGAAATTTGATTTGAGCCTCACAAAGACTCATGGACCATGACGTGGTAATCCTTTGGACGGGCTCTTGCACCTGCCCCAGTGTGCTCCCAGTGCAATCTTCTGGGGTTCTGATGCTCCTTGTCCCCCATCACTGTCCTAAGACTCTACACAAATTTCCCAGGAGCTCATGATATTAAAAAAAAATGCACAATATATCTGTAGACTCAGTGCTGAATTTTCCCCTGGTTTGTTCTAAGTCTGGGGAAATGCTCCCTGTTAGTGTCTACTGCTGGACACCTCTGAGACTGGTAGTTGGCAGGACCCTTAGAGATGGCCTCATCCCTCAAATTACACATGAGGAATGATTCAGGCCTCAAATCTCATCAGAGTCAAGTAGAACCATCCTCTTGGCCTCCTGACTTCCAGCATGGCATTCTTGTTTCTATGTGGCTGTTTCAATCTTGTCATAATGTGAAACTCAGGGCATTAACATTCCACAAAGCTAAAACTTGGCTTCTCAAAAATTTTCTCCTCTCCTGTGTAAAGATCATGACTTAGTTCTTCCTTCTCTGGACAGTGACAAGACATTCTTCCAGGCCAGTCCCATGGGAGAGCCCCATTTCAGCCAACAGAGACAGTACCCCTTTATCTCCTGAGAACACTGCACTCTTTCTCCTCTCTCCAGGCAGTCAAGCAGCTGACTGCCCACCAGCAGACCAGCAGCTGAACCAAGGGCTGTGAGGGGCAGATGACAGCAAGAAAGTTTGAAATTTTGTGCACACAGGGGATGGGGAAAGAGGTTTTTACATTTGTACATACCAAATAGTATGGATCTGTTGAGAGCTCAGTGAGAAGTAGGTTGGGCTAGAACCACAACAGAAGAGGTCAAATTTACTTCTTGAATAAACAAACCATTAGCAAGGTGTGGCTCCAGGCTGAGCTAAAAGTAGTAGGCAGGATTAGCCTACTGGAGTAGGAGAGTAACTTGCAGCCTGCAGAGAGACCTGCATTCCCATGGAGCTGTCCAAGGAGACAGCAAATGATATGGTCTCAGAGCAGCTGTGGGCACCTAGTCTCAGGGAAGGAGCATTCAAGGGTCAGGAGGACCCTGTAAGCACTCCACTTATATCATTGTAGTTAATCCTCACTCGGAGGTGGGTACTAATGTTAGTACTCCATTTCTTCAAGATCATGGAGTGAAAATTAGGAGCAGCATTTCTGGACTCAGAAGTTCAGATGATACTCTTCCTAGCAAAACTTAACTGGAGAAAATTATAAATATCAATCATTTAAATCTCTGGAAATTGTCTTGAGGGCACACAGCAACTGGATAAACATCCATTCAAGGAAATCTACTATACAATATCTGCAAGAACCATAGGGGAGGGTCATTTGATCCATAACCTACTCCCTTACCCACTCTCAGCTCCACTTTATGGAAACTCTCCTGCAGGTGCTTTACTCTGGCAAGTGTGGCCAGGAACTCAGGGATTATTCAATTAAACAAATTGCACTGTGACAACTGGATATCCACCTGAAAAAGAGTTAAGTTAGACTCTGCATGCCATACACAAAATATACCTCATAGTTAATCATAGATTTAAATGTAAAAGCAAAAATTTTAGAAGAAAATATAGGAATTGAGACCAGCAGAGAGTGTAATAGTTACATCCCTAGACTTCCACATAGTTGATCATGGTTCGAGTCCTGGACCTTGTGACTTAAAAACTTATGCTGGGCACATGTGCGCGTGTGTCCAAAATCCTGAGAGGAGAATGGAAGAGAAGGGATTACAGCATGGCCATTCCCCCACCAGCGAGGGGGTGATTTCTCATGTTCTGTCTGTCTGTCTCTCAAGGGAGTGCATGTGCCCAATAGCAAAAATCTGTCTCTCAAAAAAGAATAGGAATAAATGTTCATGACCTTTGATTAGACAATGCTTCTTAGATTTGATTACAAAAGAACAGTAGTAAAAGGGGAAAAAACAGATAATCTGGACTTGACTAAAATGAAATCTTTTGTGCTTCAAAGGACACTATCAAGAATGTGAAAGGTAGGTCACAGAATGGTAGAAAATATTTGCAAATCTCATATCTGACAAGAGTCTAGTATCCAGAATATATTAAAAATGCTTGTAAAATAAAAAGACAAATAACCCAACTAGAAAACATGCAAAGCATTTGAATAGATAGTTCTCAGAGAAGATATTCAAATAGCCACTAATTGCATGAATAGATGCTCAGCACCATTAGTCATCAGAGAAATGCAAATCAGAACCACAATAGATGGATGACTATAATAAAAACAGAAAATAACAAGCGTTGGCAAGGAAGTTGAGAAGTTGGAACCCTCATGCACTATAGCAAGGAATATAAAATAGTGCAGCCCCTTTGGAAAATAGCTTGGCAGTTTCTGAAGTTAAACAAAGAATTACCACATGATCCAGCATTTCTACCTGTGGGTATATACTCAAGAGAATGAAAACATAGGTCCACACGAAGACATGTATGTTAAGATCTATTCATTACAGTTACAAAATGGAAACAACCCAGATGCCCATCGGTAGATGAACGAATAAGCACAATGCATATGTCCACACAATGAGATTTTACTCATCCATGAGCAGAATGAAATAAAGGTACACTCGACAGCATGGTACACTCGACAGCATGGTACACTCAACAGCATGGTACACTCGACAGCATGGTACACTCTACAGCATGGTACACTCTACGGCATGGTACACTCTACAGCATGGTACACTCTACAGCATGGTACACTCTACAGCATGGTACACTCTACGGCATGGTACACTCTACAACATGGTACTCTCTACAGCATGGTACACTCGACAGCATGGTACACTCTACAGCATGGTACACTCTACAGCATGGTACTCTCTACAGCATGGTACACTCTACAGCATGGTACACTCGACAGCATGGTACACTCGACAGCATGGTACACTCGACAGCATGGTACTCTCTACAGCATGGTACACTCTACAGCATGGTACACTCTACAGCATGGTACTCTCTACAGCATGGTACACTCGACAGCATGGTACACTCTACAGCATGGTACACTCTACAACATGGTACTCTCTACAGCATGGTACACTAGACAGCATGGTACACTCGACAGCATGGTACACTCGACAGCATGGTACACTCGACAACATGGTACTCTCTACAGCATGGTACACTCTACAGCATGGTACACTCTACAGCATGGTACTCTCTACAGCATGGTACACTCGACAGCATGGTACACTCGACAGCATGGTACACTCTACAGCATGGTACACTCTACAACATGGTACTCTCTACAGCATGGTACACTAGACAGCATGGTACACTCGACAGCATGGTACACTCGACAGCATGGTACACTCGACAGCATGGTACACTCTACAGCATGGTACTCTCTACAGCATGGTACACTCGACAGCATGGTACACTCTACAGCGTGGATGAACCTCAAAAAATTTCAGGCCAAGTGGATAAAATCATGAGAGAAAACATGTAAGATTCCATTTATATGACTTGTCCAGAATAGGTTAATTTATAAAGATAAAAAATAGATGAGTGGTGCTTAGGGCAGAGCATGGGCGATGGGAGTGCAAATGGGGACCGGGGGCATTTCTTCTTTAGGGTGATGAGATTGCTATGAACTTGTGTGGTGGTGAACTGAGATTATAAATACACTAAAACCCACTGAACTGTACACTTTAAGCTGACTAATGTTATAGAATATGATTTATATCTCACTTAAGATATTTAGGGGAACTTAAAAAGTACTTTGGGCAGATGGGAGAGAGAGAGAAAGAGGGGGAACACACTCTGATCTCTCGGGAACACATCTCATGATTATGGAGCCCACCATAATCTTAGCCGTAGGGTGGTGCTTGTACCCTCCCAGGCTCAGCTTGTCCCCCTGGATTTGAGGAAGGAGCTCTCAGATGTACGCTGGCCTTACCACAGGTGTTTTCTGAAGGCCTTTTCCCTGGAGGCCCCTATGGTCATCGGGATGTGGTGCACTCATAATGTGTGGGATCTGTAGTCTGAGAAGCACCTTCCCTGTGTCCTGGGTTGTGGCTGCTACTCCCTCCTAGTAGCAGAACCCAAACCAGAGAGGCGAAGGGGCTAAGGCCAGTGTTAGGGGAAGGTTGGATGGTCCCCAGCCTGTGCCTTTTCGGTCTCTAGTCATTCTGTCCCACATTGACAGAGTACTCTAGTTTCTGCTGAGAGAGAGAGGCAGGCCACAGCAGGGCCAGCACCTTTCATCCTTATAATACCTGCTTTGTAGGGATGCCAGTGGGTAAGAGTGTGGGTGGAGAGGTCTCTGGCTGAGAACTGGGTGGACATACCTGATGTTCATCTGCTTACTAAAACAGTGTCACTTTCTTGTCCGGTCCATTGATAGGGTAAGGGGTCTGGTTTACTTAATAATCTCATTCCAGCATTTTCCTTTCTTTTTTTTTTTTTTTAAGAGAGAGAGATTTTTGCTTTAGGGTACATATGCTTGCTGGAGAGACAGAGACAAAAAGTGAGAAATTACCCCCTGGCGGGGATGGCCACACTGCAATCTCTTTTCTTCCAGTCTCCTTTTGGGATTTTGGGCACACACTCACATGTGCTCGGTGTGAATTTGAAGCTGTCGAGTCTGGGACTTGAACCATGGTTGGCCATGTGGGAGTCCAGAGATGTAACCATTACACCATCTGCTGGTCCCTTTTTCTTCTTTCTTCTCTCTCTTTTTTTTTGTAGCAGTGTTTTTGAGAGCTCTGCTTTGGCAACCTGGGTAAGATCAAAGCTGCCGCCCAATGCCGCACAGCCCACACACATGCCCCAAACTGACTGTGGTCACTGGGGAGCCTTCGTGTCTCTGCAGCGTGTGACATTACCACTGGCACACCGCACCTCTCAGGCATGTCCGGAGCGCTGCTCTAGCACTGGGGCTCACAGATGCGTTTAGGCTTCTTGTGGCTGGCTACTCAGCTGTGCTGGCTGCTCCTGCGCTGTGAAGGAGTGTGAGGCCGTCTTGTGGCCCATCTACACATGCCATGGCAAGACCCCTGGCTCCTCTGCACGTGGGCTCCTTCCGTGCACAGGAGCCTGCCTGGGAATGAGGCACAGGCCCCGCCTACCTATACTCACACTTCATATTATTCATTCTCCCCTGACTATGGGCTGTCAGATCCCGAGGTTTTTCTTGGGGGCAGCTAAGGAGACAGCTCTCATGTTCTCACCCTCGAGGGGTTAAGGGGGTGTGTCGTCATTGCCTTGAGAGGAGGCCTGCCTCTGCTGATTTGGAACGCCTGCTGTGTGTAGGCCCGGACTGGCATGGTCTACTGGGTTGTTGTTTCCAACACGCACAAAATAACTCGTAGGAGATGTTGAAACATGTGGAAGGTGAGTTTCTCACCTAGACTGTGATGCATGTACTCTAAGGCGTACTCCACAGAGCTCTGGTGTCAGCTGCCTCATGGGGACCCGGAAGCCACGTGGCACTGCCCATGAGGAATGATGGGCTACTCACCCTGATAACAATGTCGTGAGTCAAGGGACACTCTTTAAGGCCAAAGGACACTTTTTAGACATGAAAATCATGCTATAAATCCTTTGCTAAGGAACACCTGGTTCGTTGCCCTGTTCCTTCTGGGCTGACTGTCTCCTCCGTAGCCCCGTGGTAGAAGACTGACCCGCCTGCCCACTTTCCTCCTGCTCCCCGTTTCCCTTTCTCTCCTTCCCATTTTGAGCAAACGTGTTTATCACCTCGCATCCTGTTACCAGGTGTCCTAGCACGGCAGAGCCGCCCCTCTGTACCATGACTTCCCCAGGGAGCTCCCCCGTGATCCTGGCACACAGCACCCCAAGTGCAGGCCCTGCACCCTGCACCCTGGCATTCACCGCTGCCCGCTGGGCTGGGCCCTCTGCATCTTTCAGTTGCATCATCTTCTTGGAATCTTGCAAAAGCCCAAGCTTGGTGGGGATGCAGGGAGCTCTCAGCGATGCTTCTAGAATGAGCTTGGCTCGTTGGGCAGCTTCGCCTACAGTGAGCACAGAGCAGCATTGTGTCCTGTGCTGCTCCGTGACGCCTGCTGCTCAGCCCCTGCCCAGAGCACGCAGAGCATGTGGCTCAATGCCTGGCTGCCCTGACCCCGAGAGCCTGCAGCCTCTCCTCCAGCCCCAGCCATCTTGCTCAGTCAGGACCATGGCCCCGTCCTGCACCTGCTTTGGAGATTGTGCTGCCATGCGTCCCTGTGCCCTCCGAGCGGGGCTCTTGAGTCAGAGGTGGATAGACTATAGGGTAAGGAAGGTCAGGGGCTTCTGCTGGGGCCGACTTCCTCTGCCCCTCTGGGAGCGATGGTCTCTTTCCGCAAGGCACAAGGAGCTCCCACCTGAGGCCAGGAGGAAGGCCTGTGTTGGCTGGAGGTGCCATGAGCCTCATTTTGCCTCCCTCGAGGCCTCTGTAGCACTGCTGGTCTGTCAGACCAGCTGATGGCCCTGCAGGTGCAGGCGGCATGGGGATGTCTGCTCAGCCCTTGAGGGGTTCACTATCTTGTGAAGACTCTGGGCTCCCTGGAGGGCCCGAGGACATCAGGAAACTCCAAGCAGGGTGATTGAACTGTGCATCTCTCTTGCTGAGCATGCCCTGGGGGGAGCAAGCAGCTCAGAACAGGCCAGTGGCTGGGAGGGGAGACAGGAAAAGCGGGGCCCGGGGGGGG